AAAACGCCTTCCTATACATGGTCGTTTTTTTCGGCTGAAAACGCCTTCCTATTCATCAGGGGTGTATAACATACGGCCGGAACCGACCCGCAAGGAGGTTTGATCAGGCCTGCAGGATAATTTAAAAGTGAAAAAATGCACAAAAGACATGGAATGAATATTTTTAATAAGGTACAATTCGTGGAATATCCGCTCGGGGGAGACACTGATTTGATCAGAGGAAAAGACAACATTGTTTTGATCAGAGAAGACGACAACAGCAGCCTCAGTCTGTCACTGAGACAGACCCAACACAGCAGACACTGTCAAGGACATGTGAATACTTTATTCTTTACACATATTATAGCACTCTCCTTAGTTTGTAAGGTATAGGCAGGGATTACATTTAGATTGTCTATGCTCGTGTAAATGGTTTAAAAATTCCTTTCTTCATAAATCTGTTTAATCTTAAAAGTGCATGACTATATTTTTCAAGACCAATTACTTGTTCAGGTTTTGTGCCTTTGTACAGTCAGTGGGATCAGTTGCAATGCATATACAGTTTGTGAATGATAAAAGTACATTGCACATTTGTCTAAGGAAATCTTAGGTCCTTCATGAAATGTTTTATAAAAGATATGTTCATTAAATTTCAACATTTTCCTAGTGTTCCTGTGCATCTTTAGACCAAAACAAAGGAAAGACATGTTATTTTGGTTATTTATAGCAGAGTATGGTCTAATTTTTAACGGTCCGGCCCACTTGACATCTACTGAGGCCGTATGTGGCCCACAATGTGAAATGAGTTTGACACCCCTGCCTTAAGTCGTCCCCAACACGGCGGAACGTGACATTCTTGCGCTTTTTCCAGCATCGACAGATGGAATGGCTCATCGAGGCACAATGGAAAGTCAACTTTCCAGCCTCTCCGTCAATGTAGCCGTGTAGCACTGCGCTCACCACGCCGAGATTTTACGAGGTCCATCCACGTCTCTTTCGACTTGATTGCATTCAGGTCGAGGTTTGTAAATGTCTGCCCATGGCGAGGGATGTCGGACTGACTCATTGTTCTCTGTGATAAGTGCTATTAGGGTGTTGTGTTTTTCGACGGTGGTGTTGCTGTGGGGAATGGGAGAGCGCAGGGGACCGAGGACGCATCCCTGAGGTGTCCCCATCTTCAGAGTCAAGAGTAGAGGATGAATTGTTTTCCAGTCTCACGCTCTGGGGTCTGTTTCTGACGAAGTCTAGTGTATGGGTGCACAGTAAGATGCTGACGTTCAGGTCGCTCAGCTTTGAAACCAAAAGCCAGGAATCCGAACCGCCAGACCATATGGGAAGTGCTAGTGTCCGCTCTACATTCGAATATATCTGTACTTCTCCCCCCCTCACCAGCAGCTGCCATGAAGCAAAGCCTCTATCCAAGTCCGCTCTACATTCGAAATATCTGTACTTTTCCCCCCCTCACCAGCAGCTGCCATGAAGCAAAGCCTCTATCCAATCTGAATTTTTTTTTTCCTGTCCTGAGCTCATTTTGGTAGCATAACAACTTTAGCCATTGCTTGCTTGCTTCTGTACGTGGTGTTGCCATCAACAGAGGCGAATTTTTTTTGATGTGAGGAGTAAACGCAGAATGTCAAGAAATTGAATTGTGAAGTGAAAATACCTGGAGAAAATAGCGTCTAAATATTTTGAGTCGTTACTTCCCTCCGCTGGATGCCAGAAATGAAAATGCACCCATGCTGCGACACGCAATGCGGTGTCAGGCTCCAGAGAGATGTCTGCGGATGGCGTTCCAGATACGGCCTGCGCACCAAAGGCATTGTGGGTATTTACGCTGCTCAGAGGCAGCGTGGGGAAATCTTTGTGGTGGCATGAAAGAGACACACATGCGCGCACACACACACACTCTTTCATTGTGTTGCGGATGTGTTGGCAGCCTGCTGGCTGTGTGCTATCAGTTCCTCCTTCAGGACCTTCGGAGTGATGTCATCGTTGGCACGCCGCACACCGACACGGCTTGGCCAACATCCTGCCGCTGGCCGGAGTGACAATAGCGGCCTTCTCCTCTCCCAGGGTGGTCGGGGCCGCTCTGTTTGCCCGCATTTGTTTGCTTTTGGCTCCCAGCTTCACTCTGCCAATCAAAACAACAACAACACGTTACAAAAGTGCAACCTCCAAACGAACACACAAGTGTCAAAATAAGTCGAGTGAACCCCCGTTGATCACACTCACCGTACACAGAGACCGTATCATTACCATTTTTAAAAGTCGCTTATGTACGGACACGCTTGAAGTTTTGACACCGTTTAAAGTGTAATATGGTAGCAGGCTATCATATAACATCACTTTTACGGAATGAAAAGAAGACTCACTCGCACAGTTCTCCAAATAAGAGGCGAAAGTGTGCTTGTCACTCCCAGCTGAAATTTTACGTTCAATCAAAACAAAACAGAATCCATATTTAAACATCAAAACTAAATAAACCATTTCATTTTGTCTCACAAAAGCTCGCCAGTAGAATGCTACTGACTAATTGAAATTAGCAAAGGTGCTATTTCTCAGCCTTCAAACGGCTGCTACTTGAACACACAGGGAGCACACGACAATACTCACAGGGATACTCGATGTCCTCATTGCTCTGTGGGAACAACAACTGTTGGGGGCCTTCTCTGCCTCTTCTTCTTGCTGCGTCACCACACGCTAGACTTCAATGCTGCCCGGGATGTTGTCGATGATCATTCTATGAACATTGCACCGTTCCTACCGGCGTGCGCGACTCGGCCAGCAGGGGGCCGTTTAAGACTTTTCACTCTACCGAAAGTCACAAGCTCACCCACGATCCTAATAAGGTGAAACCGATTTTGGAAATACTGCAGACGTTTTTGCTGCTATTCCGGTCAATTTATGTGCGTGCCTTTCTTCCTTCAGGAGACTTAGCTCGTCGAGAGGCTTTTCATAGCTCAGCGGCTCAATCGTTCCCAATGCTGTCAAATCGCCGAACCAGGATTAGCATCAGGCGCAAAGAGTTTAGCTTTCCCTTTGACGCCGTGTTGCAGCCCATGATACGGTTCGGTTTGAAAAAGGCTGCGTTTCATCCATTTGGAACCTGCCAGAACCTCGTGAGCCGATGAACGTCGATGAGCGTAATTAGCTCACTTCAATTGAGCTGATTTAATGCAGAAAGCAAGATGGATGGCGGGATCATTTGGGCGCCGTGCGGGCGGGTGACATTGATTGAAGGGAGATAAGCGGGGGTGTTAAAAGTCTCCGGTCCACAGAGGTCCCGACTCTGTTATGTCTCTGCAAGTACCTCCAAAAGCTGAAAATTGACAGTCAGACTTCAACCCCGATTTCCTTGCCAGGAAGTAGCACATTGTATTCGTCATAACGTCACCCCATCGCAGTATTGGCCATGTGGAACATGCTATCTAGAGCAGTCTCCTTTCAACAGAGCGCTCTCATTCGGGGAGTTCACATGGATATTTATATTAAACGGGTCAGCACAAGAAAAAAAAAAGAAAAAAAAAAGAGCAGAGGCACCCACCTTCTTTAAGATCAGGGATGGGCATTATCTTTTATTGGTTTATTAGGGTACAATACAGAGCTAATTTCTTGATTAAGAAAGAACAACCAAAAAAAAGTGTCTTGGGACGCTTGACTGGATTTATGGCATTTCAATTCATTTCAATAGGGTTTCAAACTAGGGTTAGGGTCTGAAATTAGGGCTTTAAACAAAGGTTACCGTTTCAAAGAAGGGTTTTCAACTCAGGTTAGGGTTTCAAATGAAGTTTTCAAAGTTGAGTGAGGATTTCAAAGTGGGGTTTTAATCGAGGGTTATGATTTCAAATGATGAGTTTAAACCGAGGTTACGGTTCCTAATTGGGTTTTAAAATTCCGGTTAAAGTTTCATAGGAGGGTTTTAAACTAGGGTTAGGGTTTCAAAGAAGGGTCTTAAACTCAGGTTAGTGTTTCACAATAGGGATTCAAAATAAGCTTAGGATTTTAAATTATGGTTTAAAACTAGGTTTAAGGTTTCAAAGTAGGGTTTTAAACTCCTGTTCGGGTTTCAAACTAAGGTTTAAAACCAGGTTTAAGGTATGAAATTAGGGTTTTAAACTTGGGCTAGGGTTTCAAAGATTTTCAAACCTAGTTTAAGTTTCAATTTATGGTTTTAAACTGTGGTTAAGGTTTCAGAGTAAGGTGTTAAACTACGATTCGGGTTTCAAAATAGGTTTTTAAACCTTGGTAGCGTTGATGGTAATTAAAAAACAAAAATGACCTGTCTTATTATAGGATCGCATCTGTGCCGACCCAAATGGGGATTTGGAAGCTTGACATCACCGCTGGGCCCCGGCGAGTTTCCAAATTGTGCAGCATATTCCCGTTTGTTTGTAATGGACTCAAGGTTGATTTATCAGAATGTCTTTGAAGCACTCGAGTGATGTATGTGGTGCAGATTACGGATGAGGATGGCAAATTCCGATTTCAATACTCAGCAGGCTCCAGTGGCCTATTTCCAACGTGTGTTTTTCGAGCCTTAATGCACAAGTGGGTGATTGGCCTGAATACGAGATAGAAAGCGGCTCAATTAAAGGGGACGAATTATGCAAACGTGACTTTTTAATTGCTCGCACACAAACCGCCGGGTCCCCGGAGTGCCTGCCCACGCGTCGAGGAAATCTTTTGACTGACAGAAAAACGTGACTCAAAGCGAGCTGCTCAGATGTTGATCATTGTTAGTCGTGCGAGTGTTGAAATAACGCCACACTCGCCCGAGGTTTCTTCACCTGTGATTTGTCGGTTTCCGTTTTTCAAGCGGCGGCTGAATAGACAGTCCAAGTCCAAGCGGGGCAACTCCCCAAAACCAGATGGTTTCAACAGCGCTGCGGATGGGTGCGATAGCGGCTAACGAGTTGCTGACCTTGTTTAATGTTTGCGTGCAGGACAAAGGACTCTACACCACAGAAGTGATGTCCTAGAGACGGTGGTGCTCGTCAACCCTTCAAAAGACACCGTCGTAGCAGAGGTGAGATCCAGATAGATGGTTTCAACAGCGCTGCGGATGGGGCGATAGCGGCTAACGAGTTGCTGACCTTGTTTCATGTTTGCGTGCAGGACAAAGGACTCTACACCACAGAAGTGATGTCCTAGAGACGGTGGTGCTCGTCAACCCTTCAAAAGACACCGTCGTAGCAGAGGTGAGATCCATCCCAACCGGGCCGGCGCATTGATGAACACAACATTCCTTGTTTTGAGTGCATTTGCTGTCTTCACCTTTTTCCGACCCTTTTAGTGTAAAAGGACACATCTTAATGGTGGTCTGTCTTTGCGTTTGCCAGATCCAGTCTCTGATCACAGACTCGGCGGGACACAAGCTTCTGGTTTTGAGTGGTCCCAGCTCCGATCAGGGTGGACTCCTCCTTCAAACAGGGCTTTTCACCTACGACACCTTTGCGACTATATTTTCTGATCCTGGGGTGAGTGCCAGATCCTCTCCTTTTTTCAACACCTTGGGCAAATTGTTTGTTCAAGACAGAAAACCCATACAGCGGTACCTCTACTTACGAACGTCTCTTCATACGAAATGTTCAAGTTACAAAATGCCTCAACAGGAAAATATTGCCTCTTGTTACGAAATAAATTTCAAGATTCAAAAGGTAAAAAGACAGGGGATGGGCTGCTACTCGCAGTTCCGAGTTTCCTGAACTGCCCTGCTGCTCTGCCATTGGCTATTCCCAAGCATCATCCTGGCATCCCATTGGCTAAGAGGGACCTCGGGCGTTCCGATTGTTTTATATAAATGTGAATCACCCAAAACAAGTGTTCAGCAGTCGGGCGATCGCTCACTCTGCTGATGTTTGGCTTGGACATTTTCGAAGGATTGTTAAAAGCCGACAAAAGCAAACGTCAAGCAGAGGTACCACTGTCCTTGAAAACCAACTCATGAAAATGACTCGCACTAAACTGTTGGCCCCCTTGAATTAAGACAGCATTTTGAGGCAATCGACGGTCCTCCAACTGGGTAATGATCTCAAATCACACGAAAATACCCCCCAAAAAAACAACACTCGACTGTTCTAAAGAGGCCTAACGGATGTTCTAAGAAACGTTTGTGGAAGTAGCTGAAACCTTTCCGACCTGAGACCTGCTACTAAATCAAGGGTAACTTTAGCTTTGTTCCAAACCATTTTGATGAGTTTACTTTTTTTGCACAGGACAAAGTCAAAGTCGAAATCACAACATGAATGCGGCATATCTTTGTTGACAGTTCTGCCTCTGTTCCTCCTACAGGTGGTTGAACTTCTCGGCCCATCCATCCCCAAGCAGCAGGCTACACTTACCGTGTCCTGCCGCGGGGAGGTGGGCTGGAACTCTCTGGGACAGCAGCAGACCCTGCGGGAGTTCCTTCACTACAAACTAAACCCTGAGCCCGTGATCCTCAAGATGGAAGGGGTCACCGAGTTCACCGAGTACATCTGCGCGACGGTCGACGTCCCCTCACCCTTTGACCTCCTCGAGCCACCGACATCCGGAGGTTTCCTGAAGCTGTCCAAGCCGTGCTGCTACATCTTCCCCGGCGGGCGCGGCGACTCAGCCCTCTTCGCCGTGAACGGCTTCAACATCTTAGTCGACGGCGGCTCCGAACGCAAATCCTGCTTCTGGAAGCTCGTCCGCCACCTGGACCGTATCGACTCCATTCTGCTCACTCATATCGGCGCCGACAATCTCCCTGGGATCAATGGAATCCTACAGAGGAAGATCGCCGAGCAGGAGGAGGAGGGCTCTCAAGGCTCCACCAACGGTAGCGATTGGCTGAAGAACCTGATCTCTCCAGAACTCGGTGTGGTGTTTTTCAATGTGCCAGAGAAATTACGCATGCCGGAATCTCATCTTAAGGTCAAGCGCAGCATCGAGGAAGCCTCGCTGACTTTGCAGTACCTTAACAAACTGGGAATTAAGCCAGAGCCTCTCTATCGAGTGGTCAGCAACACGATTGAGCCCATCACCCTGTTCCATAAGATGGGAGTGGGACGGCTGGATATGTACGTTCTCAACCCGGTCAAGGAAAGCAAAGAGATGCAGTTCCTCATGCAAAAGTGGGCGGGCAACAGCAAAGCCAAAACCGGCATTGTCCTGCCAAATGGCAAAGAAGGAGAAATATCTGTGCCCTACCTGACATCAGTGACTGCCTTACTTGTCTGGCTTCCCGCAAACCCGACGGAAAAGATTGTCAGAGTTCTCTTCCCAGGAAACGCGCCTCAAAACAAGATCCTGGAAGGCCTGGAAAAGTTAAAGCACCTTGACTACCTGCGTTATCCTGTAGCGACACAAAAAGATCTTGCATCTGGAGTGCCTCCTTCTGTGCTCAAGCAGACAAAGTTAAAACAAAGAACGGAAAGCAAAGAGAGCCTTAAATCGTCCCCGAAGACCACCGCAAAGGTCACCAAGGAAAAAACGGAAGGACAAGATGATGGCGGCGGCGCAGAGACAAAGAGCGAGACTGCAAAAGAAAACCTGTCTGTGAAAAATGAACCAAAAAAGCCAAGTAAAACCATCAAGTCTAAATCCGACATGCCAGAAAAGAAGAAACTTCTCAAGGAAAAGTCCCTGAAAAGGCACCCCAAGGAAAGGGTGTCCAAGATGGATGAGAAAAAGGACAAAGAGAAGAAAGAGATCAAGAAGGTTAAGAAAGAGGAGTCTGCCAGAAAAGATGAGAAGAGAGACGTTAAGTCCAAAGAGGACAAGAAAAAGGACACATCCAAACCGGAGCTGAGAAAAATGGCAAAGCCTGACCTCAAACCTCTCACGCCAGAGGTCCGAAAGACATTACACAGAGCTAAAGTGTCGAGTAAAACAAAGCCCGGAAAAGCAAAACCGGCAAAGGCTGAATCCAAGCCAGAGGAACCAAAGACTCCAGAAGACAAAAGTCAAGAAAGCATTCGAGCTGAGCCAACACAGAATGGAGTTTCTCCCTCCCAAGACCTCACCAAGGAAATCGAAGTGATCCAAGAAGTCGCTGTGGATGATTTAACAGCGCCGACGTGCCGTGATGAGACTGAATTGCGGGCGACAGCTCAAAGCTTTACCCATGAGAAGACACAAGAACCAGAAAGTGTCACCCTCCCCGCGACAGAGTCTCCTGGAAAGGAGGAACCACTACCGGCGAAAGCCGCTGTTGAGGCACAAAGCGACAACCGCAAAGAATTGGAAGAGACTCAGATGTACGAGGACGAGGGAGCTGCATCCCAGGATGAGGAGGAGGATGAAGAAGACGCTCCAACTGCTGAGGCGAGGACAGAGGACGAGGATGAGGAGGAGGAGGAGGATATGGGAATTGGTGAAGAGGAAGACGAATTCCCGTCGCGAGAGCACGACGGGGTGGACGCAAAACACGAAACTAAAGACACAGAGGAATCGGAAACACTCGGCGTAGCAGATGTTGACACAAAAGAGGATGAAGAGAATGAAGAAGAGCCAGTGGAGAAGGCGGAATTGGAGGAGGTCGAAGATTTGGATGTGATCGCGGATGAAGAAATCACCAGTGAAGGTGTGGCTCGAGAAACCAAAACCGGCACCTTAAGCCGAGCCGAATTTGAGGCGGAAGAGGAGGAAGAAGAGGAAGACGGCTACGTTTCACATGTGGGAGGGACGACAGCGGCCATCAGTGCAGGAACTCCCAGAGGCGCAGTCGTAGAAGCCATCTCCTATATCCAAGACGAGAGCATTCCGGGCTACTCGGAAACAGAACAAACCATCTCCGATGAGGAGATTCACGAGGAGGCCGAGGAGAGGATACCACACCTTCAATATGACATCGGTTCCAACGATGTCTCGGTTCCAGATCAGACCGGATCATTTGTCAACATTCACGGCATGAGGGAGATGCAGGCTTCGGCCACCCCTGGGAAAGGTTTTGTGGCTGGCGCTCAGGAGCAGCTGTCATTATTTACCAACATATTCACTGCTCCTCTGGCAGAGGAAGAACACGTGTCCTCGGCCACGTCCATCACAGAGTACGACAAACTGTCCTCGCTCCCCACTTCTCTTGCCGAAGACCAGTCCGTGGCGTCCGCCGTCGCCCCCGAAGAGCCGGTAAAAACCAGGGTGACGACTGAGCAACTTCTCTCGTCTGGAACGCTTTCACCGTCGTCTCTTGAAGAGAAGTCACCTTCGGCTGACTTACAGCTTCCTCTTGAAGATGCCAAGACGCCCGCGAAGCTTCCCGATTCCCATGACGACGACGACGACGATGAAGAGGAAGATCAGACTCCCAATGTTGATATCTCACTGGAAAAACTCCAAGAGGGCTATGCCTTATCCCCCCAAATAAAGTGCAAAGACGAGAAGGTTGAAAAGCAGCCTGGCTCCGCATCTTCTGTTGCCAAGTCCAAACAGGAGGACAAACTGGTCCACTTTCCAGGTGAAAAGGAGAACATTGATGCAGTGGCCTCCAAGGGTATTTCATCGGTCGTGCCTCCCAGGCCTTTTGGCTCTGATTCTGTTACCTCTGAGAGCGAGGAGCGTTGTTTCAGTCCAGATGACATCACTGTCAAAATGGCCTCCCCGACACAATCGGGACCACCGAGCGCATCTCATTCGCCCCTTCGACATGCACCAGTGGAAGCGTTTCCTGACTTGGACCTCCCCGAGCTCGCCGCCTCAACTGAAGACAAAACCGGAAAGAAAAAAGAAGACGAGGAGCCAAAACACAAGAAGACGGAGGACAAAGCATTTGAAAAGGACTTGACGGATGTTGTACCTGTCAAGGAGCAGGAGCAAGGCACAGAAGAGCAGACAATTACTAAAGATGAGCCATCAACGGAAGTTCAACCACCTGTGTCGGGACATAAGTCTCCCAGTGAACAAAGCCAAGGAGAACGTGATAAATCCCCAGAAAGATGCCACCCTTTCCTTGACGATGAAGATCACAACAAAGGCGAAGCCTTGGATGATGGTATGGGTGCAGTGAAAACAATTGTCACAATCGAACAAGAAACGGTGGATCAACAGAAATCCAAATCTGCTCTTCCGCTCGATGCTGGTGACATTTCACCCATTCAGGATGAGGAGCTAGCGAAAAATGCCACTATTTACAATGTTAAACCTGTGAAAAAAGAATCATTTGATGCTCTCGTAAAATATGATCCTCAAGAGTTGGAAAAAGAGACCGCTGCTTTAGCAACAGCTCCCAAAGAAGCAATTGGCGCTTTTCGGTATGAGGATGAAGACCGTGACCTCAAAACCATGCAAATCAAGACGTCTGACGTCGTCGTGCCTCAGACTGAAGGCATAAAACCGGAGGAGAGAACGTCTGAAATTGTTGCCACAAAACCTGAAGAAAAGGAGATTCAAATTGTTCATGGCACAGAGGCCACGGATGCTGCTCCAATTAAAAAGCCTCGTGAGGATGAGAAGCAGGAAATGACCGGAGAGGATGAAACAGTGGGTAAGACGATCAAAGATGCTAAAGCAGAGACCAGGCTCATCACAGACGAGCAGAGAGGAAAAGACGAGGCCGACGCTACGTTGACCGAAAGCCCCAAAGGAGACATTTGTCTGGCTGTTGCGCACGTTACGGCCGTAGAGAAGCAACAGGAGATGCAATCTGACATTCCAGCAAATTTGGAACCAGCACTTGAAGACCAATCCGTCAAAGAAGCAGAAAAAGCGCTCGATGCCACCGCCGCTGGCATACCCGCTGACGCGGAGATGACAAGCAAGAGTGAAAAATCTGAGCATACCGCTGCGCAAGATGACATTTATGCTGGTAAACAGGACGAAAAGGCTGATGACAAAGTGGACGCCATCGATGGCAAAGCATCCAAGGAGCAACACGTGGCAATTGTGGATCAAAGTGTCGGTATCAAATCCATGGAAGAAGAAAAAAGTAACGACGGGGTGTCGGTCAAACCCACTGAAAAGGAATGCAAAGATTTCATTGAAGTAAAACCAACGGCGGAAGCAGAGAAGAAGGTTGACTTGGAAGAACAAATACAAAAGGGGGACATGAAAGAGACACAAAAGGAAGAAGCTTACGATAAGAATAAATACTCTGATGACGTCGCAAAGAAAGAGGAAACGCAAGATGTTCGCGTTGCATTGACCCCAACCACAAAAGACGAAAAGGGCCTTGCGAGTGACAAAGAAGCCGAAGAGTTGAAAGCAAGAGCGGCCTTCGAGGAAGCTAAAGAAATGACAAAAGATGGCAAAAATGCCCTGCTGGAATACACGGAAGATCATAAACAGAAAGAAGCCAAATCGGAAGCGACCTGTGAGAAATCTGCCAAAGATGAAGTGAAGCAGTTGATTAGTGAAGATAAAGCCATTCAAGACAACAACAAAGGAGAGCCCACAATAGGTCCAAATAGAGACAAACCAGAGACACAGACGGAATCCTTTCAGACACAAGAGGTTCAAAGGACTGTTGACGCTAATGTTGCGACAGGTGCTGTGAAAGAGGCAGACCACTTCCTAGCCCGGGGCATGGCTAAGGAAAAGACATCTGGACAAGAAACCTTTGACAAACAAACTGCAGCTGCAAAAGAGGAGGAAAAACAACGTGATGGGGTTGCAACAGTACTTATGAGTTCCGATGAGAAGATGGAGAAAGAAAAGGACGACGCTCATGTTGCCGAATTGAGCAAGGAGCAGAAGATGGAGAGGGAACAGGAGAAGGAGGCAACCTGTGAGACAAAAGATCTGCATGAGCAAAAGACCAAATCAGAAGAGATACGAAGCACGTCCGATGCGAAGGCGGAAGACGGCGGCGGAAAAGAGAGAGCCGAGGAACAACGCACCAGGGAGGAGAAGTGGGAGCGGGAAGAGTTGCAAGAGAAGGACCTCGACAAAACCTTGAAACAATCTGCACAGGCAACATTCGGAGAAGCAGTGTTGGCTTCCAAGTTACACCACGAACCCGCCTTGTTGGTTCAGTCTTCTGATGAAGACCATGAAGAAGAGGAGGAGGAGGATGAAGAATATATATGTATGGGCTCAAGACCTTTATCGGTTGAGCTGAGAAAATCCGAAACTCACTCCAGCTCTGCGGGCCAAACGTCTCCATTAAGCAATCAAACTCAAGAGGCCACACCCAGACAGACAGTAATCGTAATACCAACTCTTATAATGCAGGAACCTTCACTGGATGAAGAGAGCAAAGAGTTTTTCACAGAAGAATGCAGTCTTTCCAGCAGTGCTGCAAAACCTGCAAGTACTCCTTCACTGATCACCCACCAGGAGCCGTCCTCAGCTACTGACTCGGCAAAGGGGGAGACAACTTCGATTCAAAAACAGGAGCCATCCCCTGATCGACCAGAGTCCAGCTCGAGCACTGAGAGCCAGTCCAAAGTCCAGTCTCAAATTGTTGATAAGACGGCGCAAGAGGGGAAGCCCGGCAAAGAGGCAGAGCGGGAGAGGGAAGGAGAACGGGAGGCGGCTTCTCCGGGATTTTCACAGCCTTGTTCATACTTCCTGTTGGACAAAGACTCCGATGACACCAGCCCGACGGATGGTGGGAAATCAGGCGGTGCAAAGAAGGAGAGCACTGATCACGGACTCGGATACGAAAGCAAACCTGTCGCTGCCTCCAAATACGATCCATATGAGAAGCCCATCCCAAAAGATCCGACCGCTCGAGAAGGGACAGATGTGTTTGAAGGTCATACTTTTGACATAAGCATGGACGATAACAGGAGAACAAGCCAAACGGGGTCAGCCGCGTTCCTCCATGAGGACCAAGTCAAACAAGAAGCAACGTCCTTAAGTCGAGCTGACCACAGCCCACAGAGTGGCAGCCACCGAAGTGCCTCGCCCGATCAAGAAGAGAGAGAGAAAGGGCAGCAAGAAGAGAGAGAAAGAGAAGAAAGAGCAGACACGCCTCCTACCGAAAAGAGCTTTTCAGCTTTGGATATGCGAGACAATAAAATTTCCCAGGAGTCTTACAGTCCCAAAGAGGACAAACCAGAAAAATCGGAGAAAGAGAAAGAGGATATGGAGGGAGGAACTTCAGGAACATCTCAGACAGGAGGAAGGGATCAGGCGTCTACTGATGCCGTTCTTCATTCCACAGGGCATCCATCAAAGCAAGAAACCAGCAACCAATTAGATCTCAGCACTGCACTCACACAAAAGGACACCGCAACGAAGGAGATGGAAAAATCACCGAAAGACAGGACCGGGTCCCCCGATCATGAAGGCTCTTCATTTGGTCGTTGCTCGCCAGGAGAAAAAGAGATTTTACCCCAAGGTGCTTCATCCTCGGTCAAGGATGAGCAAGCAAGTAAACCGAGTGCAGGCTTGGGCTCCTCGTGTCTTGAACATACAATAGATGACAACATTCTCGCCTCAGACAACAGTCATTCCGTGTTGGACTTCCCCAAAGGCAAAGAACACCTGGTCGATATTCGCTTACTTGTAGCAGGTGAAGATTTCAATGTTGATGATGATGATGAGGAGGAGGAGGAGGAGGAGGAGGAAGAGGAGGACTCGAGTGACGTTGACATGGAGAAAGGTGCCAGGGAGCAGTCTGAGAAAGAAACGTGCGGCCATAGTCCGCCCTCTGGGGACTCAAACAAAACCTCTCCTGAATCGAGCCTCCAAAAAGAGGAGATGGTCTCTCAAGCGACACCTGACGATGCCCTTGTGACGTCCAAGCAGGACACAAGTCAAATATCACAATCTGGTGACACAAACATTCTTGGGAAGGAAACTGTCTCTGGAGAAACAGCTGCTGGTACGACCAAACCTCCTGAGATCAAGAGTGAAGGCAAAAGGATGACATCACCAGGCTCGAGTGCTGTCAAACTAGAAAACATCTGCTCGGACGCTCCAAATGAACCAAAGCCTCTCGAAACAAAGGGAGACAAAACATGTTTATCCCCTGAGCCGGCAACACCAAGCAAGCTATCGATTGCTGGGGATCGCCCTTCCTCTGAGGTCCAGCAGTCAGAAGAAAAGGATGCCGACAAAGAATCTCTATCGCCAAGCTCCGAAAACCATTTCCAGTCATCACCCGCGATCAACCTCAGCAGCTCAAGCCCAGCAGCGCTACCTGACCAACCCACGTCCCCGTCCGTGCCTGCCTCTGATCCGTTTGCCCTGCAGCCTGGACGCTATACTGATCTTGGACTGAGTGGATCAGAAGGATACTCTGAGGTCAGTCAAGTAGGTCCAAAAGATCAACAGCACGAAAGCCAACAAGTAACCTTAAGCGAAGATCGATATTACCAAGGAGACAACCAAGAGGGAAGCGTGACTCAAAGGCAAAGCTCAGATCTGACCGCTAAAAAGGAGAACCAGCTTCCCTCATTACCTTGCACCCTCACCTCCGCTTCAGCCGGGTACGCATCACCCGGCTCAAGTTTTACCCAGCATTTAGAAGACAGTGCTCAAAAGTTTGAAAGCGTATCGAGCGATACGGCCCAGCGATCGACATTGTTCAGCTCAGCCCCTGGTGGCCTTCAGAGAGACGAGTACATGGAAGTGATGACCAAACCTACAAAAGAATATTCCCAGGCCGAGGAGAGCAAATGGTCATCGTCTGTTGTACCAAGTAGTGAGCCCTCAAAACCGGCAGACATTTTCTCCACATCAGAAGCCAGTTTAGGTGCCTCTCAACAAAGGGCCGAAGCCACTGACAGGAGTTCCCAAGGCACAGCGGCAGATGTCGTACGTGACTCTGACTGGCAAAAAACGCCCGAAGATAAAGACACTTTTTCATTACTAACCGCGGCACGTTTGACGGAGAGTACTTTGAATACAACAGACGTGAAGACGACACCGACCGTTGAGTCATTACCGCGAGTGACGACGGAAACAGCTCATCGCGTTGCCTCAGTCACTTCAGCAAGTGCAAGTGGTGCTATGAACACCTCATGTGCCGTCGCCGACCCTTCCGGAGCTGAGGAGGGAAAGCAGCCAAGCATAAAGACACCATACGATGAACAGGAGAGGACTACGGTCCACGCTGAAGTGGGACAGGAAACAAGAAAAGCAGACATTGCGACAAGAGAAGAGGAAACAAAGTCTCTGGAGGACAGCATTGAAAGGATGAGCTCTGCAGTTGAGCAGGATGATAAAGTGGACGTCAAGTCGAAAGGAGACTCTGACTTCCCACAGGCAGTGGAAAGCTTTTTGGACAAGCCGCCGGAGAGATTAGAGGCAAGGCGAAAAAGTAGTATATCTGATTGGGAGCTGCTGCAGAAGCCTGATGATTTCCCAAGTGCCCCTCCACCAGGTTACGGTGACCAGGAGGAGGATGCCTTCGAATGGATGGCGAGCATCCACGGTGCCTCCTCAAACGCAACCTCACTCGTAAGAGCATCGAGCAAACCAAAAACCGATCGTCCATCCGACTTGAACACGGGAGATTGCTCCTATGAATACAAACAGCGTAAAGGAGAACTCTCTCCGTCCTTCATCAACCCGAGTCCACATCAGTTCTCTGGCGACGAGGGTGAGGAGGACGACCGAAGTGACCGCTCCCAGGAGGGAGGTGGTGCAGCCCACGAGCAAAAAGCTGCTAAAACAAAGTCACACAAGCAAAGGCGTCACCATGGCGACGCCGGTCATCAGTTGTCCGGCGCCGCCTCATTTGGACTGACGGCGACTTTAGCGGGAGAGGAAACACCTCCCACATCTCTGAGTGAGTCGTTGCCTTCACAGTCCGATTCTGATGTGCCGCCGGGAACTGAAGAGTGTCCATCCATTACCGCGGAAGGTAACCTGGACTCGGATGAAGATGCGGACCATTTGCCTGCGGACCGGTTGTCAGCCTCAGGAGCTGCCGGTGGCCTACAGTCCTCGTCACCGAGGGCAGCTCAGCAGACGCACGATCCCCTCCCCACCTCGGTAAAAGACCCTGCTCCACAACCTCCTCATCCAGATGCGTGCATGGTGGATCCAGAGGCTTTCCTTCAGGACCTCAGCGGCACAGGAAAACTTCTCAAGAAGGACCAGAAGGCCACCAAGGGCCTCAGGAAAGCCAAACCCAAATCGGCTTCTCCTGCTCGGAAGGGGGACGTCAAGAAGAGGTCCACCACGCCGGTGAAGCAGGCCCATAAGGACTCGGCCCCGCCCCGATCAGCATCCCTCAAGAGGAAGGACCCCGAGAGGAGCTCCAAGCTGTTGAAGATGTCAGAGAACCAAGGTTCGCGGAGTGACATCCTCAAGGGCCTGGTCAACGGAGTGAAAAGCAGTTCAGGTGCGTTTTATCTTCGAATCAATCCGACGCCGGTTTGCTAAATCAATACAGTGCCACGATGACGGAAACGTTTTTCAATTCTGCCTTGATGTGGGCATGTAATGAAGATGCCCACTTGCTTAAGTTGACCGTGTGCGTGTGTTCAGGAACGAACGCTCAGAAAGCCCCTTCAACTGTCCCACCCGGACCACCGGTCTACGTGGATCTGGCCTACGTGCCCAACCACTGCAGTGCCAAGAATGTGGACCAGGAGTTCTTCAAGCGCGTGCGAGCGGCATACTACGTGGTGAGCGGGAATGACCCCAGCGGCGGAGAGCCGAGCGGCGGCGTCCTGGACGCCCTGCTGGAGGGCAAAGCTCAGTGGGGCTCCAACGTGCAGGTACTCACGCAGCTGCTTATTTAGGTTTCAAAATACATCCTTCGATGTTGAACTCAGTAGGGGTTATTTTTAGTTCCTGAGTACCGAGACTAACTCAAGTATCGTAATGTACTGAAATAATTTTTGTCGACTAAAATCCAGAAAAAAGACGTCCTTGGTGACATTTTGTCCCCCTGAAGGTGACCCTGATCCCGACCCATGACACAGAAGTGACCCGGGAGTGGTACCAGCGCACGCACGAGAGGCAGCAGGACCTCAACATCATGGTCCTGGCCTCCAGCAGCACCGTCGTCATGCAGGACGAGTCTTTCCCCGCCTGCAAGATCGAGTTCTGACTTGCCCACGCTGCCCTGCAATCGACCCTTTGCCTCGTAGCAAAACGCACTTAGCCAGTCATCAAGTTCATGCACACCGAAAATGTTTTGTTTTTTTTCTTTACTCAATTTTATTTTGTCAATAATATTAGAAGATATATTAGAAGACAAATATAGAAGATAAATATATATATATATATACACACACACACACACACACACACACACACACACACACACACACACAC